AGCTTTCATACTAATCCAAATGAGTGGCAAAATAACGCAAACGTTTTCCTATTTACATGTTGTGATTTGTATAGTCACAGAATGTACAAATAACAAAGTCAAATGAGACACAGACATCTTTTAACCGTATAAAACCTGGGAACTATTCTCTGAAGGCGAAGCACTGCTACTTTGACGGAGTGATAACCGCATCACCGGAGACACGCCGTGGTGAGGAGCGGAGAGTTCGCTCAGTGTTTGGGTAACAGAGTCAGCAATTTATAAATAGTAAAAGCGTAGTTTACAGTCATGGGTTTTCGCTCTATTGCAAATAGCTGCGACAGTAAACAGGGGAGGTAATACTTTTCACAGAATTCACTGACTGGATGAAGAAATGGCTAACTTACTTACTCTGGATTGATCCAAACACACCTAAATAGATTATCAAGGGACATTACGTTTGCTCGGTACATTTCAATGAGGACGACTATTTTGAAAAAATGGAATTTGCCACACGGACCATAATGTGCTGAAGGATACGGCCATCCCATCTATAGCACAGACAGGACAAGTGGATCACCTGCGGCTGAGGTAAGTGTTCCGTTATGTTTTTAGATGACCTACTGTAACAGTGCCATTAGCCAGATCTAATGTAACATTAGTGACACTATTATATGATTAGGGTATGAATATGTTTTTATCTTGATGCGGTGCGGACGCGCTTGGAAAAAAACGAGCGCGTTCACCTCGTTGAACTTGCACCGTGCGCGCGGCGCGCCTAGTAGCCTAAATTTGAAATAGGCTGGAAATAACGAACTTGACATGCAAAAGGGTACGATAGGCTGTGAGTTCTTTGTGCAAAAACAAATTGTGCTATTACTTTCCCCTTATTCTATCCTATAGTAATGCAATTATACTGTATATTATATACTGTTGAATACCTACATTTGGTTCAGCTAATAAATTGCATTTAAAATATATTGATTCCTGTAATAATAATTATTTATTCATGTTCTGTGATATTTATAAATCTGGGTGCGTTTTTGGTTGGAAATCAATCAAACATGGTACCGTATTACCTGCATGGTCTCCACTGTTTATTGTCACAGCTCATACACTAAAGCAAACACTCATGATAAACTATGCTTTTCTATCTAACGTTAGAAATTGCTGACTCTTTACTCCAACACTGTGCGAACTCTCTGATCCTCGTCACGGTGCGTCTCAGGTGATGGTTATCACTCTGCCCAAGTGCCTTCAGAAAATATAGTATTTATACGGTTAAAAGATGTCTGTGTCTCATATGGCCTTGATATTTGCACACTCTGTGACTATACAAACCACAACATGTAAATAGGAAAACGTTTGCGTTATTTTGTCACTCATTTGGATTAGTATGAAAGCTGCAACCATTCACATCCAGTCTTTGTGCTAAGCTAGGCTAGCGTTGGGTGCGTCAAACAGACTTATAGCACGCACGGAGATGAAATATGTATGTATGGACTTATCTAACTCTGGGGGGTAAGATGAATAGGCTAAAGTCCCAAAAAGTCGGAGTGTTCCTTTAACTATTTTTGTGACCTAATCTAAAGTGAGGACTATTCATGCTTTGTAAAGCATTTATAAAGGTGATTTAAAGACTCGTCAATCTTCTAAACAGTAAAATGTAACAAACACAACGCAGTGATACAGAACATAGAAATATTTAACAGCCTTTAAAAATGCTTTACAAGGCATGACTAGTCCTCACTTTAGATGAGCTCACGAACATAGTTAACTGACCACTACTAAATGCTTTATAACTACCCAAATTAACCCTTAATTACAGCATTAATACATGTTAATAAAGCATTTATTAACACATTAAGTTACCATCACTATATGTCTGAATAATAAGATGTATGAATGTACATTTAAATAGTTTATTAATCATTTACTTACTCGCTCTAAGTAATCGTATGAACCACTGAAAACTCTTAAATAACTGGTTAATAAAAAATGCAATTCTTCATTTAGAAATGATAAATTGATCATTAATAAAGGATGAAAATACAATTATTAAACAAATTATAGATATGCTTTTAAATCAAGAAGAAAGCATTTATAGCTGTATTTATGAACTGCTTATTAATGTCTATTAATGCTTTATGAATGATGAATTAATGGTTTACTCATGCTTAACTAATAATTATTAGCGTGTAGTTATTATAAAGTGTTACCATACATTTCTTTTTACTTTAATATTGTGTGGCAACCGTAAGGGGTTGCAGGCACTCCGCTTCGCGTCGTGCCTAACAACGCCCTGCAGCCGTTACTTATTAACGATACAGCACAGCCTCTCGTACCTTATTGCTTACATAAATCAAAGTTACAGAAAAAAAAATATAGAACCCAGCAAGACTTGCACAACTATGCAAGCTTTAGGGGCGTTGATGGATTACTATCTACTTGATATACAGTATGTTTTGATCATCTTTTTGAATCTGATATGGACAAAGTTCTTGACAATAACGTGATTTTCATAGCTTTTAATGCCAATTTTTATTTTATGAAACATGAAAGTATTGATAAAAACAATGAATTAAGCTAGAATGTATATATTATTATTGCTGTTATTATTTATTATTATTTTATTATTTTAAGCAGAGGCTCTATTCTTGATATATTGGCCTGGTTTCACAAACAAGACTTAGATTAAGCCAGAGGCAGGCATTTGTTAAATTAGGACATTTAAGTAGCTTTTAAAATGTGCCCTTGAAGGTAACACTTAATTTTATGGTGTCATGGAGTAATTACTTAATTAATTACTTAGTAGTAAACATTGTAATAACATATAACAAAATGTAATCAACATGTAACTAAGTTATGGAACAGCCTGTACTTACATATTGTAATTACACTCATGTAATAGGCAGCTACTGTTACAAATATGTAATAGGCCGAGTCGGTTACATACGTGTTACCAACTTAGTACAAAGTAACAGGTACTTAAATATGTTACTAAGGTAAAAAGCCTGCAGTTACACATGGTCATTTTGAACCTTCTAAAATAAAGTGTATCAAGTACTCAAGTTCTTCATGAGTATCTACATACCCCATCCATCTGAATTAACCCTCTAGTTCACAGCTTAAATACATGCAGTAGCTTCTTAATTACATTCAATTTACATAATATTACACAGGTATAAGCTACGTAAAATAAAGTGTATCAAGATTGTGCTTAAGTGTACTACATGTGAATCTACACACCTTATCCATATGTACTTTAGTTTGAATTAGGCCTAACTCCCTCAATCACAGCATAAATGCATGTGGTCGCTTCCTAATTACAGTACATTGCAATTACATATTATTACACAGGGATAAGCTACGTAAAATAAAGTGTAACAAGATTTTACTTAAGTGTACTTCATGTGTATCTACATACGTTATACACATGCAGTACACTTAAGTACAATCTTGATACAATATTTTAGGCGGTACAAAATGACCATGTGTAACTGCAGGCTTTTTTCCACACCTTAGTAACATATTTAAATACTTGTTGTTACATTGAGTAGTACAACATACTTTTTTATATAATTACATTGTACCAAGTCGGTAACACGTATGTAACCAACTCAGCCTGTTACACATGTGTAACAGTAGCTGCCTATTACATGTGTGTAATTACAATCTGTAAGTACAGGCTGTTCCATAACTTCGTTACATGTTAATTACATTTTGTTAAATGTTATTACAACGTCTACTACTAAGTAATTAGTTAAGTAATTACTCTGTATCACTGTAAAATAAAGTGTTACCAAAAACATTACTGGGTATCTTGAGAAAAAAAAATGCATGTTGTGTTCAGCTAGGACAAAACAAACATGCATTTTAGTCTGGGACTAGGCTTAAGCCTTGTCTGTGAAACCGGGCAATTGAATTTTTTACATATTTATGAAACAAAATATTCCAATATATACAGTATATATTGGTTTTGGCTGGCAACTTTAGTAAACACTGGCGGGGAAAGAGTTAAATATTCAAAAAGGGCAACAACAACTGCTGGAAACCACCACTTCATCTACCACTTTCACACTAGGAATTGATGATATTGAAGAGCAATTCTTAGACAGGCAAAATATAACACAATAAAACACAAAAGATTCCCCTGTGACTGAATGTGTGATGGATGGAATAGAAGGATAGATAAATTAGCAAATTAATCATTGCTCTGATCACACCTCAAACCCCCCACCAATGCCTGGCCATTTCCACAAAAATAGTTTTAAAACAAAACCGGTTAAAGACCCTTGCTCTAGGCTTTGGATTACTTTTGGTCTATGATGCATAAAAGGTTGGAGACCACTACTCTATATGAAGCGTACCTTCATAAAAGATGCAGCCTATTTCTTTACATTCAGAAATTATAAGGCTTACAGAAAACCATCCTGTTAACAGGTATGCTATACAATCAAAATGGATTTGAATTTTTTAAAACAGTAGAAAAAAAAATAGTGCAAGTAAATCACAACCTGCACAAGGCTGGGCTAAAAAAAACCCAATTTCCTGTTGCAGACCACATTATGCTGTCTGACGTCAACACATGGTCTTAAAAAACAAATATATATATATATATATATGGTCCTCTGTATATAAACTCAGCAAAAAAGTCCCTTTTTCAGGATTACAGGATATTGTAAAGCTAATTTTGTACAATCCAAATAATCTTTTTACAATCCAAATAATCTGTTTTTTATGCTTGTTCAATAAACCATCAATCATTTTTGCACATGCACCTATGAAACAGCACTTAAGACTAACAGTTTACAACCCTCTCCTCCCCTTGTTCAGGGAACATATGTTCAAGCATTCTATTTTATTTAATCATCAATTAAATGTTTTGCTAAGCAACTTAAGTTCATATCTCAGATGTTGAATGTTTTTATGTTCATACAAATATTTATATTCATATTTACACATTAAGCAATCAGCTGAAAATAAAAGTAGTTGAAAGTGAGAGGATATTTTTTTGTTTCTTTTTTTCTGAAAACAGATATACAGACATTTTAAGTGCGACTTTGTAAATTACACCAAGCAAAACATTTATGGCACAAAGCTTAATGTGCAACTCAAAGCATTTGGCACTTGTAGGATCAGTTGAGGTAGCAGTATCACCATCTATTGACTACAAAACAGAATACACTTTCCTTCATTTTTTCAAAGCACATTGTCATAGCAAGACAGTCTTTCCCTCGGATATTCCTGCAATCTTTGGCATCTTAACTGAGCATTTTAAATGTCCCAATAACACTGACAGACACAGATAAGAGGGGTAACCAGGCCGCTGGGTTACTCTTTAACGTCCTTGAGCACCGTCACCTGAGATAAGGTTTTCTTAACACGTAGTGCTGTAAGCCGAGCAGCTGGATTGGCATGCCAGCACTCCCGCATGATCTTACCCATAACCCTCAGTCCCTGGAACAAACACAAACATACATGGGTGATTCTATACTTTTGACTACTTGAAATCTAGAAGATGTAACTTTAATATGTTTCATCTATGTGAAAACATTTCTCTCATGTCCTCGTACCATATTTAGGGAACTAGGGTTACGTATGTAACCAAGACGTTCCTTTCTTGTTTTCTTGTGTGAATGCGAATTTTGATTAATTACAATGTGGTCCATAGTCAAATAATCTTTGTGTGGCCATTTGTCACAGGTCGGGGTAGGCTCCAGCAGGCCGCCCACCCCTAAGCTGCAACACCGCCCCGAGGAGCAGACCGTGGAAACACATGAGGCGGACGGGAGGTTATAATAAATAACAATGTTTCTTTATTGGATCATAAAAAGTCTTAAGTTGGCTTCGTGGTTCTTCTTTCCTGGCGACAGAGACTGAGCAACAACAGATCAGCAACAGCTCTTAGCTTCTCATTCGCTCACCGGCTCAGTGATTCTTCATTCCTGGTGACAGAGACTGATCAGAGGATCAGCAACAGCTCATTGTTTCTCATTCGCTCACTGGCTCAATGGTTCCTCCAGCTCTGAACAACAGAGGATCAGCAACAGCTCTTAGCTTCTCATTCGCTCACTGGCTCAATGGTTCCTCCAGCTCTGAACATCAGAGGGTCAGTAACAGCTCTTAGCTTCTCATTCACTCACAGGCTCAATGATTCTTCATTCCTGGCGACAGAGACTGAACAGAGGATCAGTAACAGCTCTTAGCTTCTCATTCACTCACCGGCTCAATGATTCTTCATTTCTGGCGACAGAGACTGAACAGAGGATCAGCAACAGCTCTTAGCTTCTCATTCGCTCACCGGCTCAGTGATTCTTCATTCCTGGCGACAGAGACTGAACAGAGGATCAGCAACAGCTTATAGCTTCTCATTCGCTCACCAGCTCAATGGTTCCTCCAGCTCTGAACATCAGAGGATCAGCAACAGCTCTTAGCTTCTCATTCGCTCTCTGGCTCAATGGTTCCTCCAGCTCTAAACATCAGTGGGTCAGTAGCCGCGTTTCCACTGCCGGGCTAGGGCTGGGCCAGAGCTAACAGCGAGCCGAGCCGAGCTAGTGGCCTCGGGCCTCAAGCACCGGGCTTGCGTTTCCACTGCAGGGCCAGTAGCCCCACAGCGCTGCCCCAGACCCCACCCCTAACACGCCTTTCTGGATCAAACGTCATAAAACCCAACCCATTTCAGCGGGTATTATGAATTAATTAATTTTTTTAATTAGGAAGATAGCATGTACTAGCATTAACTCACCTGCCGTAGTGGCTGCAATAGTGTCACGAGACCAGTACAGGCGATTCTCTATTTCAAGCAGCGATTTTTTGCGCGATATAACAGGCTGCGGTACCGCCGCAGCCTGTTAACAAACGCCGCAACCTCGAGATACAGAGTTATTTTTTTAACACCTTTAATAACTGATTGTACCCCATTTGAAACGAAATTAATTTATAGAAATAAAACGCAGCAAGTAGGCTACGGAGCAGTTAAAGCCGCATTTCCATCACCCTTCAAACTGAAATTGCCAATTGAAAATAAGCAAAACGTCCATTTCACAAAAACTCCGTGTCTGCAAATAATAATAATAATAATAACCATCATCATCATTATTGTAACATTTTATTAGGCTGCATATGTAGAAGACGCCTTTATCCAAAAAAGGAACGGAGCACAAATAAACACAATATTTTTGACGCATATCAGCGCATATCCAGTGTGTGTGGAGCACGCACTGATGGCTGCGAGACGCCCATGTGAACACTTGCAGTTTCATTGCATTTCTTTCAGTGGAAACAACTTAAAAATACTCTTTCATTTCTGGTCATACAGAAAATAATAATACATTATTCGCAAATACATTTATTTGCGTAAACTCACAATAACAAGAAAACGTTGTGCTTTAACAATCAAGGCACGCTTCATGATCTCCGTGAACTGAAGCGCAAGACCTGAAACAGCCACCGCATTCGAATTTGTTCGTTTTAAATTGGACATTTAAAGCTTTAGTCTACAGTAGATTAAAGCTTTAAATGCCCAATTTAAAACGAACAAATTCGAATCGAAAGCCAATATCTTTCTGACTATGTAATTATGTAGCTAATTAATCTCTCTAAATGTGCATCCGGAGATGGAGATATGTTTTTAGCCGAAAATCATTTAGAAAACAATAGTTTATTAATTAACAATTAATGCCTCGTTATTTTATATTATTTTATTATCAGACACATTTATTATAGCCTATAAATCACCTATAATCCACTTTCTGTAGGCTGTGGTTACGGCTCTTCTTATTCAGCACTGCAGGGAAAATATCATTTCCAGGTTCTAATTTGGCCTCAGAAAACCAGTAAAATATATATTTTTTTTCATATTAATTTGTCAAATATTTTCAATGTTTAAGGGGCAAACAATCAAACAAATATCTGAAAATTCGTCGATATGTAGCCTATATATAGCCTATATATTTTTTGCGCAGCATTTGGCATAGGCCTACAGTTCAAATTAAAATGTTATGCAATTTTAAACGGTTAACCGGTTAAACATGGACACCCCATGTGCATCTTGCTTCAGATCATAACGTTCCATAACACCGATAAACTCCGCCTTTTACCTTGAGCACGCCTCTAGCCCGAGCTGGCCCCCTCTGGCCCAAGGTATTCGACGGGCCAGAAATCCTGGCCGTTGGCCCTGAGGAAGCCCCGATCAAGCCCCGGAAGTGACAGTGGAAACGCGACTGGCCCTGGCACGCACTAGCACGGCCCGGCCCTGGCCCGGTAGTGGAAACGCGGCTAGTAACAGTTCATAGCTTCTCATTCGCTCACCGGCTCAGTGATTCTTCATTTGTGGCGACAGAGACTGAACAGCAGGGAATCAGTAACAGCTGAGACTACAAGTGGACGTAGAAGTTAGAATTTCCCGCACTCATGCAATCAGTAAAACACTCGAGACTTCAAACGTGCTTGTTTCCACACTAGACACTGCAATCCACAATACCTCCCAGTGAATTAAGGCTCCATTTGCAACACATTCTCATCCCAAGACGTCATCTAACTGACGCTTTTGACCATATGTCAACATCCAACGTTTTAGGGTACCCTTTAACATCAGTTAGATGGCGATCCTAGGGCGTCATCCAACTGACGCTTTACCTTTACAGTTAGATGACGTGGGTAGGGGTAGGGTTAGGAATAAATAGCGTCATCTAACTGACGTTAAAGGGTACCCTAAAATATCGGATGTTGACGTATGGTCAATAGCGTCAGTTATATGACGAGAACAGGCTCATGCCGCTGCCTTCGGGTTCTCCGGAGTTCTCCAGTGAGGAATAAACATACCACAAGTTCTTTTCTTTCACAGCATCCCTCTGCTGCCTTTCTGTGCCTCTCTCCCTGTGTCTTCACTCGTTCCTTTCTTCCCCCTCTCTCTTCAAAATGGCCTTTTTTAATACTCCACTTTGGGAGCATGTGCCCAGAGCCCGTCTAACGGAGAGCCTTGGCACTTCCTATTAGCCCCATTGTGCATCACCTTGGTTGCAGTTCCATTAGAATTCCACTAGAGGTGATCGCGGGCGAGAGCAGAATGAATGGGAGTCTATGGGGCTAAACGGCTAAAAATGTCTCTTTCACCTGCTTGTCGTTAAATTAACAGATTTTATTGTTGATTCTGCAAGTTCAATATAGATAAGGCCAAAAGTCGAATGAACGAGTACTTATGTCCTTTTGATTTCTTACAGGTTAGGCTGTTGTTGGCCGGAACACGCTAGCATTCTGCTATTGTGTGACGTCATCACAGTTTTGAACGGATTTTTAGAACAGATAAGTGAACATAAAAATGCAATTTTCAGCTGAGTGTATTATCTTAGCCCTCCCCTTTGAATTCAACTTTCAAATTACTTGACAAAAAATTACATCCTGAGAAAAGTGGATTTATAGGGGTGAAACCCCATTGACTCCCATTCATTCTGCACTCGACCGCGAGCGCCCCCGCATGGACAGAGACGTGTTACTGCAGCCAGTCCAGAACCCGGAAGTAACGAGCCAGTGCAAATTCTCTTCAATGGGCTTTATGCCCAGCTGCACTACTTCCTGAACTTCAGCCAGCTCCTTGTTTCCTGTCTGCAGTTATTGGCCAAATTGATTAATCCAGGTGTGCCTGACCTCAGTTGTCATGGCAACAATAATCAGACACACCTGAATTAATCAATTTGGCCAATAATGGCAGACAGGAAACAAGAAGCTGGCTGAAGTTCAGGAAGTAGTGCAGCTGGGCATAAAGCCCATTAGACATTCTCTGATGTGCCCCAATCACCACTCAGGTTCTTCCCCTTCCACACCTGCCGTTCATTTTCTTAATCACCCGGTGACACATTCACCCAAGATCTTTGCTGTTCTCTGATTACAAATAAAGTCCCTTTAAAAATTCAACTTGCTAAATGCTCTAAAATTCAACTCAGTAATCCATTTTTCTGTAGCCATGAAACTTAAGGCCCCGATAAACTTCAAGAGAACTTGAAGAAAGAACTGGTGTGATGTATTAATATTTGACAAATTAAATTGTTTTATTTGCAAAGTCCTCGTTGTTACATTTGCGCTGTAGGCAAAAGTTGTGTAGGGAAATTCTGCCCTTACAGTACCTAGCAGAAACAAGCTAGATGTTTCAGTTCATACCTCACATTTTCATTGGTTTGCACAAAATGAAAGTCTCACAAAAAAAATACATATCTTAAAATAATAATAAGAGGAGGTATCCTCCCCGAAACGTGATTTTAATCAATTTTAACATATTGTCAACTGAAATGTCACATTGGTAAGTAAGAATGGTAAGTTTATCACACAAACCTCACAGCTCTGCCACTGGTTGGGAACGTTAGGTCGGAGTTTTTGTTCACACACCACCTTCCTCAAATCATCCACTGATGGGTCTGATTGCACCTGGTCATAATAAGGCAACTGGAAATCTTCATGAATCCCTGCAGAGCACAAAGCATTCATGATTATTTATTTTCAATAAGTACTAAGTACTACTAATAAGTACTAATGAAAAATCTTAATTATTCTAAAAGTTTGGATGTGGATGTGCAACATCATGTATTTTATTTTCTTCCCTATGACCCTAACCCTAAACAGTCATGATATTTTATGTCATAACCAATGTTGCTCCCCCTCTCTGACCCTAAAAGTTGAACAAGCTGTTTCACGCTGATGTGTCTGTAAAACATCTCTGTATCTTCTATTTTTATTGGTTAACTTCTTTGCCAGCAAAATTAGTAATAGTAGTAGCAGCATGCAGGTTTACTCTCAGTTTTATACTGTAGTTTAATATAGTTCTGCCTTAATAACAGTATACATGTCCTTCAATAACAGTCTCTCTGGCAAAACATTTCAGAAGGTTTGGTGACCTTAAGCACATTTTATCATTAGTTAAGGAAATCCTTCCTCTTATTACCTCTTATCATGACTAGGTAACAATAGCTGCGTTTCCATTACAGATTTGCGCAAAACTTTTGTGATATTGTCTAAATGTCGATAAAGAACTATTGCGAAATGATGGCATTTCCATTAACCGATGTTATGCGACTATAACTTAATTTTTTCCTCTTGTGAGAAGTCAAACCAAAAATCATGCCAATGGATGTTGGTAAGTCTACATGCCACCGCACCAGCCATTATTTCTAATGGAAGAAGACGTAGGCGTGTTATCCATTCATTAATAGCCAGGAAAGACCAATACTGGGAATGGCTCATTGCAAAAAGAAATTCTTTTCTCTCTTCAAAGCATTTCTTTGTTGTTTAGAATCCAGTTTTCCTGTAATACTTTTGTCTTTTATGCATTTAATAAAGAACTCTGTCTCATCTTCTGTCCAAACATACCATGCCATCTACGTCATGTGACCTGTAAATGCGTAAAACAGTTTCCATTGCAGTTTTGCTAAATATTCCTTATTTTTAATCACCTGAAAAAACACCTCAAGCGAGCATAAAAAACATTTTTGCAATATTTAGTTTTTATGCAAAATTTATGTTTCCATTGTGCGTATTTTCCCATTAGCAATTTTGTTGAAGCTGTCAATTCCATAGCGAGAGTGAATTTTTTGGAGGGCTGGACAAGGAGATGGACAAAAAACTAAACAAAAGCACTTTTTCTTAAAATACCTTCTTGCTCCACAGAAGAAAGTCCAACAGTTTTTGAATGACATGAGGGAAAGTAAATGGGTGAACTTTCCTTTTAAGGGCTATCCATGTGATTTTTTTTTTTTTTTTTTTTTTTTTTTTTTTTTTGCATGACTCTCTAGAATACTATTCTGATTGGTATTTCATGGCAGTAAAAATTCAAATATACCTGACAGTTATCCAGTGCTAATAAAATAGGTAATAAAATATCAATATTTCATGTTTATGTTTATTTGTGTATTGTTATGTAGCCATGAAATACATGAGATAATGTAGAATTTTAGGTGGTCATTATTTATTAAGTTTTTTTTTGGGCAAGGGTTACTGATGCAGAGACTGTATTATTATTGTTAGAGATTTACATCCTCATAAAAATAAAAATTATGCAAGCCATTTTAGTCTAGAAGAAACCAATGAATAAGTGTCAATGATTAAGAACACAATTTAACAATGAAGAACAATTTAAATCAGTCAACTGCTGGTGTGCATTGATTGGAATCTTATCACACTGTTTTTTGTTTGTTTGTTTTTACTTGACTTTAAATATACTAGAAAGGTACCTTGGACAGAACATCTGCGAGCAAGTTCCCAGAACACCAGGCCAAGTGAGTACATATCAGCCCGCTTAAAGGACTCAAAGCTACTCATGTTTATAGAATCATCCAGGATCTCAGGAGCCATGTACCTGCAGAAACAAACATAATCACATTAGGGCAATGTACCCTCACCAAATGAACGCATTAACCTCCATCAAGATGTTTTTATACACCTGAAAGCAAACAATGACACATGTTTTATAGAGAAATTGCACACGGAAAGTGCACACAGAGTTTAGAAAGAGGAACAGAGAACACTCTGAGTTGGCTACACACTACACTCATAGATCCATACTTAAGACCATCAGCATAAAGCCTGGCCAAAAACTGTATGCTTGGACAGGAAGAGTCCATCTGGTTGTTATGTAAAACAACCAATCGTGTTTTTTTTTTTACATACTGTAGCATTTAAGGACAGGTAAATCGGAAATAGTATAACTCTGAGAGTAAATGTAAAATATCAAGGTGTGCTTAAGAATATATATACTGTATATAATTTCAAATATTCAAAGTCAAATATTCTAACCTCTTGGTGCCCACTCTGTGGTTAATGGGGATGTCAATGGTGTTGGTATTAGAGTCGTGTTTGACAGCCAGACCAAGATCCGCAATCACAGCAGTTCCGTTCTTCTTAACCAGGATGTTCTTTGACTTTATGTCTCTGTGAGCAATGGCGGGCTTCCCTGTCCCATAAGTAATATGTTAAATTAATAACAGCACACGTCATACATGAGAAGTAATTTTTATGCAGAAAAGTAGTCATATTTAATATAAAAAACAGATGGTTCAACAGCAGAGTTTGGATGTGCTAAAAACTTTATACACTACATAAAGCTGGATGAAATTGTCACATCTGCGCCAACTGCCTTCTGCCACTCTCTGTTAAGTGGTGTTTAAGAGGAATCACTTGCAAGCAGCTAGGGTGATAGAACGCATCAACATAAAAAGTTAAAAGTCAAGGATGTGTGTGTTGACCTCAGAGAGCCAAATAAAGCAGTGATTGTGGAGTATTTTCCATTGCCACACATGGATGAATGCTCATCCAATGTTCTGTTTTCACTACCATCAACCTGACTAATGCTTACTACCAAGTGCCGACCGTTACCTCACAGACTTTATTACTCATGACAGACTGTTCAGTTGGCAAAAGTACACAAGATGATGACCTGGCTTGCTTGAAGATCGAAAATTGGATGACATTATCATCTTCGGACATGACATGTCTATGCAAGGCAAAGTAGTTCAATGGGTCTTACAACGACTCGGAACTGCTGCATGGCTTGCAGCTCAATAAAGACAAGTTGCGCTTCTGGAAAACCAGCCTGCTGTTCTTGGGTCATACTGTTTCAGCAGAGGGTCTTCTTCCTGATTAATTACGTGTACAGGTGATTCTCAATGCCCCAGCACCTTCTGATGCATCTACTTTGCGCTCCTTACTTGAACGGTCAAATCCCACTCCGCTCTTCTCCATCCAGTGCCGCTGCCGGATAGACCTTAGCAGAAAGTGGCTGTGGATATAGTCAGGCCATTTAACACTGGTGCATACGACTGCACTTTTGTTATAACATTAACTGATTATTATAGTAAATGGCCTAAGATCTCCTTTACTCTCACATTTTAACTACGAATTCTTTGGTTTCGTTGCTCTCAGCAGTCTTTAGCCGCCATGGCAATCCATTGACTATAGTTAAAGAGTAACTAAACCCCTGGTCAGAGCCTGACTCCACCCACTAGCAATATTTGAAAAATGCTGAAAAAATGGGCAGACCCCAGCGGGGCCAGGGGGCGTGCACCTGAGACCCGCCGTTAGTGACAGCTGCTGTCAGACTCTAAAATAGAGCGAGACTGGAGTGACGCAAGTAACTGCCTTTGCAACAGAGCGGCCATTTGAAGTCGAGGACTTTTCTCCCTCACCTTCACCTGAAGTGGATGAGGGTGAATTGTATGTAGACACAGGGCCAAATCCATTCGAGACGCTGGCTCAAACTGCGGTCTTAACTCCCGCATCGCGACCGGCATCTGATGAGTTTTGTCGTCGAGTTGATCTCAATAGCGCACGCTCTGTGGGCATGTATTCATATTGATATTCTGCCGCTATGTGAAAAAAATCCAGCAAAATGCACCGGCTCGTTTGTCGACCCCAGAGGATTAACTTTATCCTAACCATAAATTGTGATTAAAATATCCATGATCACTCACATCAAGACGCCGCTGCGGTGGAGGAGTCCATGCAGGACGAGCAGTGTTTGGCACTACGTGTGGAGCTGTGTGGAGAAGCCCATGTCCACCTCTATTCCGTCACTATCCTGATCACTGTACTAAACTAATATATGCTATCCTGATCGTTTTCAATACTCATAAATCCAACTCCTGACTCGCTACAGTAGTTTTGATGGAACCAGATGCTTTTATACCAGGGGCTGCCAAGGGCGTGGTGAGCTCGCACCAAGGGTGTGACAGAGTCGCGTCTGAGAGTTTGCTACGTCAGAAAGTACCCCTACTACAGGAGCTTTCCGTTTAACCTGAAGAGGGCAGCACTCAGACGTTTTTACACCATATATTTTAAAATCAAAACACTTTATACTCAATTGTCAAAAAATGTACTCGAATCAATGAACAGCATTTATGAGGCTCCATTCTTACAGATCATTAACTAAAAAAAGTTGTTTTGGTGTTTAGTTACCCTTTAATGATAACAGTGTTTAGTTTAAGTCTACTTTTCTGGAAGAAAGGAATATGTGTCACTTTTGTTCCTCTCTCTACTACCCAGCAGCTAATGGTGCCATAGAGAGGTTTAACCGTGTCCTCAATCACACTGTTCAAATGGCGATCCAGCAACCGCATGGAAACCTGTAGTAACTGACTTCTTCCAGGTGTACTGTGCCACTCCACATGCTGCAACTGGTACTTCACACTTTTAGCTCCTCTGTGGCAGGCAAAGGCACACAAGGCTGTCTATTTTGCCATCTGCTCCTGTGCACTCATCAACTGACATGACTGTTCACCGAAGGGTTATGCGGCTGTAACACAACCAGACAACAAGAGATGATTTCTAACAGCTGTTCTAGCATGGACTTCAAAGACTAGTGTGCCAGTTACAGCCAAAACTAGCCAGACAACGAGGTCTGCTTTACTGACCACTGTCTGTTTCTTTACTAGTCGATCTTAGCATGCACTCCAAAGACATTAAACCAATTTAAGGTGTTGTTGCTGAGTGTTGTCCACAGTCTTTAATTAACAGCCAGACCAGCCTTTTACTGTACATTTAAAATAAGGTATAGACTAAGTGCAAATAGCATTATAAGTTATTTACACTGTGTATATAGTGTTAGAATACATTCATACTTAGTAGGGGCAAATAGGGGCTGATAATAGGACAATATCCTGGACCTTTGAGGACACCTTTACTGATTAGCAGATTTGGTATGATTAGGGTTAGGGTTAGGCATATGGACAAGTAAGGTCTCATAATGCAGGATCCATTTATGATAATTTAGAGTATGGTAATAAATGATCTGCACAAGTCATGGTCACTGGGCAGTCCGTCCGGTCAATGAAAAGAGATAGCATCTCATTTCAATTAAAGGTCCTAATAAATACCGGTTGTGGCGAGGGGTGCGTGGTTCAGCGAAGTCTGTGGTGGGAGAGTGGGGGCGGAGCCAGGCGGTGAGTAAGTGGGTCAAGTTCAAATGATGAACACCTGTCTGTGATTTCAGTAATTGACGTGAGGAGACCGTATATAAGCGGCCCGTGCTGACAACGAGTTGAGAGAGAGACTGGGAGCTCATACACAGACCGGCAAGACGTTTTGATCACCAAGTGTACCTGACGCGAGAAGCTGTAGCCAGCGGGAAGAGTGTGCAGAGACCAAGCGTGAAGCTGTAGCCAGCGGGAAGAGAGTTATTGTGAATTGCTGTTTCCTTTTGTTCTATTTTGAGTTAATCTATTTTGAGCGCAGAGAGTGCTGTGGGGAGAGTCTAAAGTTCAAATAAAAGTTCACGAGCCCCAGTTATCGCCGACCCTGTGTCTCCTTCCATCACCCACACATCTCACAGAACCATCTTATCATCACTCCGGTATAAATATTTTCTTTTTTCTTTATTTGTTCTAAATTTATGCTCTCCCTGTTCACAAAAAAAGGCAGACTCAAACTCCTGTCAGTCACATCAAGAGACCTATTCACTATTTTTACTCTCCCTGCCACTACTCCTGTGTACATAGACACTGTTAAAGATATATGTAATATGTAACTGTTAATTGTAACAAATAACTAGTATTTTCTGACTAGTCTAACATAAGAATTACATATTACATTTATTCTATAATCAGAAAGTATTACACATATGTATGCAGCTACAAAAGTAACAAAAAATAAAACAATGCACTAAAAACAAAAGCACTAAAACAAAGCACTGGAATACTTTGCCAGAGGAGGATAGACTTTCACTGCTGAGTGAAGGTTTTATACTCCAGAGAAACTAGCAAAAAAATTTAAAAAATCAAATAAAAGATGCATTATGATCAACACCTTGAGTGCCAATAATCTCCATGTGCAGGTGGGCGATACCGCTGGAGATGGACAGTGCCAGACCTATCACTCCCTCCACTGATACCGTGTATCTGTTCAGGTAATCAAAGAGAGAACCATGCTCATGATATTCTGACACCAGCCACAACTGTGTCCATGAGCCATTATCTGAAGAAAGACAAAATAGACAGATTACAATACAGGACACCCAAACGTGATGGACAAGAACATACAAAGTGATTTGAAAATATATCTCAAAATGCAAGTTTTGATTTAATGACAAATGTCGAGAGTTATAACCATTGTGAAAAAAATTTTTCATGGAAAATTGTAATCAATACTTTGTTTAAAATGCTTTCAAATACATGTCTTTTAATCGACATAAAAAAGTATTTATTCCTATCTGTATGATTTTTGGATTTTTGGACTCTATGCATTTATAATTCAAAGAAAAATATCTGGACAAAGATGACTGTCATATCATTGATCCTTTAACTATGGTAAGGTTATCAGTTCTTGCTTTGAAACTAAAGCTATTAAAGGTAAACTACCCAAAATATGAAAATTCTTTTATCATTTAATCGCCAAACAGTTTTTAGTTTTATTTATTTATTTATTTATTTATTTTACCATTGATTTCTGTTGTATGGACAAAAAAACAACAACACTGAATACATTTCTCAATTTATCTTCTTATATGTGACACAAAGAAAAGAAAGTAAGCGGGAGTAAATAATGACAGAAGTTCATTTTTGGGTAAATTATCGCTTTAAGCTTACATTGGTTTGGTAAGATAAAGTAGTGCTTCTCAAACCTGTCCTGGATTACCCCCAGATTGAACTCTTCAGCTTAGTAAAGACTCCACGACCTCAGATGGATATGTCAGATAAGATAGACATCAAAAATGTACAATGTTAGGAGTACTCCAGGACCAGGGTTGGCAACCACTGAACTAAAGCATGTGGTATGGCGAGTAATAGCTCCATTAACTTACAAAATGTCAGAGTTTGGTATGTAACCTTAGATCATTGAGTAGGTAACGAGACATTGCATCAGTAGCTGACACTATGGCCCTGTTTAAACCACAGCATTTTCGCCATAAATGAGGGATAATGTGGTTTGTGCTTGACCACTTTCGACCATTTTCAGGGGTAGTCAAAGTTGCATTCAGATTGCTTACATGGTGAAGGTCAAATGCGTTTGAACAAGCACAAAAGACAGCATACTCTCTGACTACTACCTAATGCGTAATCAATGTTGAAAACAGTTTTGTACCATTTTTTTCCCCAGGATTCTTTGATGAATAGAAAGTTCAAAAGAACAGCATTTATTTGAAATAGAATCTTTTGTAACATTATACATGTCTTTACTGTAACTTTTGATCAATTTAATTCATCCTTGATTAATAAAAGAATTGATTTCATTTATTTATTTCCCCCCCCAAAAAAATAACCTCAAACTTTTAGTGTTTAATGATACAAAAGCTTTCTTTTTCAGATCAATGCTATTCTTTTGAACTTACTATTCATCAAAGAGTTCTGAAATGATTTTCTTTCAACATTGAGAATAATGAAAAATGTTTTCCTGAGCATCAAATCATCATGTTAGAATGATTTCTAAAGAATCGTGTGACACTACAGACTGGAGTAATGATGCTAAAAATTCAGCTTTGAACAAATTAAATTACACTTCACTACATATTCAGATAGAAAATACCCGTTTTAAATTGTAATCTTATTTGTATTTTTAATCAAATAAATGAAGCTTTTGTGAGCAGGAGAGACTTGCCCAAAACAACAATTATCTTAATGTAGATAATAAAGGATGAATTAACTAACTAACTTATGTGGTGTTTTCATTCTTGCAATTTTTGCAGTGCAGACAGTGACAATTCTTTATATATACACTGCTTGAGCCGAGCCATACACTTACAAAATGCCATTTTGTTCCCCCAGAAAAGAATAATTCACTCAATGAATCCAATCAAAATTAAAGCTGCAGGCAGCAATGGGCGGGCCCTCGCACCTGTAGCGCGTCGGGGTGTGAGGCGTCCGCGTTGCATATTCTGCAGCTCAGCCAGTGCGGCTGTGCATTTGCTACTCTACTTTGTTAAAGGTCACTTCCTGTTGCCAGCAGGTGGTGCTATGACTGTGGGTGAATGTCGGCATGTAGATTTGTTCAGGGCGGGACTCTTGTCAAATGTGTAAAATTTGGTGCAGATCTGGGCATTTACAGCCAAGTTACTACAACTTCCTGTTTCATAGCGAATCATCGACGCCACGGACACGCCCATCGGCGAAAACGCGCAGATAGCACAACTTTATATCGTCAATGCCTTTAGAAGGTACAGCGGAAATTTGAAGTTGATCCGACTAAATACCTAGCAGGAGTTCGTTAAAGTACGGAGTGTGTAAATCGCCCCAAATCGGTCGCCAAATTCAAAATGGCGGACTTCCTGTCGAGTTTAGGGTATAGGATCTTGAGGCTTTTTTGTGCGTCTTGAAATGATACACATCCCCACCAAATTTCGTGCATATAGGTTGAACGTGGACGAGGGGCTAATTTTTTCCAATTTTTATAGGTGGCGCTAGCGAACCATTTTGACCCGCCCATCCGCGAAACCCACAAAATACGAAATTTCACCAGTCCTGACATGCATGCCAAATTTGGTGAGTTTTTGAGCATGTTGCGGCCCCGAAAATGGCGCTTACTTTGCAGAAAAAAGAAAAAAAAATAAAGCTGCAAGCAGCGATGGGCGGGCCCTCGCACCTGTAGCGCGTTGGGGTGTGAGGTGGCCACGTTGCATATTCTGCGGCTCAGCCGTTGCGGCTGTGAATTTGGTTCGCTGCTTCATTAAAGGTCACTTCCTGTTGCCAGCAGGTGGCGCTATGACTTAGGGTGAATGTCGGCATGTAGATTTGTTCAGGGCGGGACTCTTGTCAAATGTGTAAAATTTGGTGCAGATCTGGGCATTTACAGCCAAATTACTACAACTTCCTCTTTCATGGCGAATCATCGACGCCACAGACACGCCCATCAACGAAAACACGCAGACAGCACAACTTTACGTCATTAATGCCTTTAGAAGCCACAGCAGAAATTTGAAGTCGATCCGACTAAGTCCCTAGGAGGAGTTAGTTAAAGTACGTAATGAGTAAATCATCCAAAAATGGCAGTAAAATTAGAAATGGCCGACTTCCTGTTGACTTTAGGGCATCGCTCCAAGTGACTTTTCTGTGCGTCTGGACATGGTAGATGTACCACAGAAATTTCGTACATGTCGGTCAAACGTGCGGTGGGGGCTGCTACGTTAAAAGTCACTTCCTGTTGCCAGCAGGTGGCGCTATGACTGTGGGTGAATGTCGGCATGTAGATTTGTTCAGGGCGGGACTCTTGTCAAATGTGTAAAATTTCGTGCAGATCTGGGCATTTACAGTCAAGTTACTATAACTTCCTGTTTCATGGCGAATGATCGACGCCACGGACACGCCCATCGACGAAAATGCGCAGATAGCACAACTTTACATCATCAATGCCTGTAGAAGGCACAGCAGAAATTTGAAGTCGATCCGACTAAATCCCTAGGAGGAGTTCGTTAAAGTACGGAGTGTATTAATCTTCCCAAAATGGCTGCCAAATTCAAAATGGCGGACTTCCTGTCGAGTTTAGGCTATGGGTTCTTGAGGCTTTTTTGTGCGTCTTGATATGATACACGTCCCCACCAAATTTCGTGCATGTAGGTTGAACGTGGACGAGGGGCTAATTTTTTCCAATTTTCTAGGTGGTGCTAGCGAGTCATTTTGCCACGCCCATCCGCGAAACCCACAAAATACGAAATTTTTCACCAGTCCTGACATGCGTGCCAAATTTGGTGAGTTTTTGAGCATGTTGTGGCCGTGAAAATGGAGCTTACTTTGCAGAAAAAAAAATAAAGAAAGAAAAAAGAAAAAAGAAAAATAAATAAATAATTAAAGCTGCAAGCAGCGATGGGCGGGCCCTCGCACCTGTAGCGCGTCGGGGTGTGAGGCGGCCGCGTTGCATATTTTGCAGCTCAGCCGGTGCGGCTGTGAATTTGCTACGCTGCTTAATTAAAGGTCACTTCCTGTTGCCAGCAGGTGGCGCTATGATTGTGGGTGAATGTCGGCATGTAGATTTGTTCAGGGCGGGACTCTTGTCAAATGTGTACAATTTGGTGCAGATCTGGGCATTTACAGCCAAGTTACTACAATTTCCTGTTTCATGGCGAATCATCGACGCCACGGACACGCTTATGGACGAAAACGCGCAGATAGCACAACTTTACATCGTCAATGACTTTAGAAGGCACAGCAGAAATGTGAAGTCGATCCAACCAATTCCCTAGGAGGAGTTAGTTAAAGTACGTAATGAGTAAATCATCCTAAAATGGCGGTAAAATTAGAAATGGCCCACTTCCTGTTGAGTTTATGGCATGGCTCCAAGAGACTTTTCTGTGCGTCTGGACATGGTAGATGTACCTCAGAAATTTCGTACATGTCGGTCAAACATGCGGCAGGGGCTGCTTCGTTAAATGTCACTTCCTGTTGCCACTAGGTGGCGCTATGACTCTGGGTGAATGTTGGCATGTAGATTTGTTCAGGGCGGGACTCTTGTCAAATGTGTAAAATTTCGTGCAGATCTGGGCATTTACAGCCAAGTTACTACAATTTCCTGTTTCTTGGCGAATCATCGACGCCACGGACACGCTTATGGACGAAAACGCGCAGATAGCACAACTTTACATCGTCAATGCCTTTAGAAGGCACAGTAGAAATTTGAAGTCGATCCGACTAAATCCCTAGGAGGAGTTCGTTAAAGTACGTAATGAGTAAATCATCCCAAAATGGTGGTAAAATTAGAAATGGCCCACTTCCTGTTGAGTTTATGGCATCGCTCCAAGAGACTTTTCTGTGCGTCTGGACATGGTAGATGTACCACAGAAATTTCGTACATGTCGGTCAACGATGCGACGGGGGCTGCTTCGTTAAAGGTCACTTCCTGTTGCCACTAGGTGGCACTATGACTGAGGGTGAATGTCGGCATGTAGATTTGTTCAGGGCGGGACTCTTGTCAAATGTGTCAAATTTCGTGCAGATCTGGGCATTTACAGCCAAGTTACTACAACTTCATGTTTCATGGCGAATCATCGA